GGTCTCCATGAGTTGAGGAGACGGAGATCTATTTTCTTCCCTAAACGCTTAGAAATCATCCTCCTAATAGTCCTTTATGAAACCTTACTCAGAATCAATGTTAAGCAGAGCTTTTCTTTACCTTTTTCAGTCTACTGTTACTATCCTAGTCTCTGGAAGGCCTCAGAGATTTCTGACAGGAGCTCATTACTCCATATTTAAACTTAAGTACCCCAGAATGTAAATTTTCCGGGCCAGGAGATTAAAAAATTAAGCAGCAGTTAAGTATTTTCTTACAATCTAATTACATACGTTGCTTTTTCAACTCCATTGTATTCATCTTTATTCTTAAGAGTGTTCTCTTTGACAGGGAAGAACGTGACAGTAGTGAATACATGTTTTCTGAGGGTGTTATCTGCTGATTTTATACCAGTGGCCCAGAGTAGGTCTCAGCTCCCTTTGCTCCTCTGGCCGAACCATAGTTTTGAAGTTCCTCAGCAACTTTTCACACATCTCAGTTTATGCTCTTCTTTGAAGTCATTACATGATTTTGAATTTGAATTCAAACCCTACTCTATGCTCTCTTCTGACAGCAAGAGGTGCATGAGAAAGAAGGAGAAAGGCAGGGAGATGGTTAGAAAGCTATTTATTGTACTTCTGGGTTGAATGGTAACTTGTAATGCCCCCTCCTTCCCTTTCAACATGGATGGAAATCCCATCACCTGCTAACCATATACTCATTAACTCATGTTAATCCCCCACCTGCTTTTGGATCTTGCCCTTCTGCCTTCTCAGGATCTCACCTTGTCTGTTATCTCCTCATATATTCAATTTCACCTCTCAACTGATTTTCTTATCAGTTCTTAAGCAGGATCAAGACTCCCATTAACAAAATCAAATAAACTCTCTCTCAGCTCCACAAACTCCTCTCAGAGAAATGACTTTCAGCTGAAATTCATTCAGCAAGAATTACTCAAGATGCAACACATGGAACAAGTACAATTGGTTGTTCTTGTTTAGAACTGACTTGCTTTCTCCTTCCTCAGCGTTCACATTAACAACGATGCCCGGATCCCATCTCTGCTCTGCCTGTACTTTGTCAACCACATCCTCCTATCTACTACCTCCCTGTCCCCTCACACCTTCTGAGTAAGCTATTCACACTTCCAGGTCCTCAAGTACTGTATGTACCCTTTTCAACCTGCTGAAATCATCACATTTTACCTCGTCCACTGGCTCCTTCATAACTATAGTAACTGCTCAGACGGCATGTTTCAGTGCTGCTCCTGCTAGGTGCTCAAAGTCTCTTGGAAACCATCTTAAGATGTCCTTTACTGATAACTTTCTCTACGTCAGCTCCCAGGGTTCTGAGCA